CTTTTTCAAATCTAATTTAATAAATTAATTACTATTTGTGTAACAATATATATTTGTTAAAGTTAGATATTATTAGACTATATATAATATATTTACTTATTTAAATTATTTTTAATTTTTAATTTTTCTTTATTAAAAAATAAAATAAAATTTTGTATGATTAATATTTAACGTGAAATCCGTAAACCAATATGACCTCCCATTCTTCACAAATGTAAGAGAAGAGGACATTTTGAACCCCTACTAAAAATCCCCACATAAATCTCGGTATTTATTATGGGCGAGGAAAGGGGTGGGAAGGAGGTCAGTGGGAAGGAGGTCAGTGGGAGCCTATAGTTGTCCCCCGACTTCTGGAAGGAACTCGAAAGTGAACAAGTCAAAATCAAGCAGTATTGGCCAAGTAAATTATACTCGGCAGTCGGCACAACCATTGCCTATGCCCTGAAACTTGTCCCATCACAGGAGATATTTGTAAATTAAAAAATAATTTTTTATCTTGTGTCATGTTATATTAATTAAATATGCATTTATTATTTTTTTATAATTAAAAAAATATTAATATAAATATTAATTAATTAATTAATTAATTAAATTTTTTATAAAGAATGGGAAACTCTGATATATTTCTCATTAAGAATTGTCTATATATACAATACAATGAGACGTTAGGCCTGAGCCATACATACAAGAGGGGCCATATACAATGCTATATTTATAAATATTCTATCATCCCCTCAATTTGTGCAAGATCAGGAAGAACGCATAAATTGCTTCTTAAAAGATGAAATTGATGTACCAGAAGACCCTTTTTCAAAATATCAACCCACTGATGGAAAGAGGAAACATACCGTAAAGAGATCAAACTAGAAGCAACCCTTTTGCGAACAAAATGGAGATCAATTTCAATATGCTTCGTGCGTTGATGCTGCACAAGATTGAGTGACATATACAAAGCACTAACATTATCACAGTAAAGAATTGTAGGAGAGTCAATAGGAAACCGTAGCTCAAACAAAAGTTGTCAAACCCATGCTACTTTTGCAATAGCATTAGCAATTGCCCTATATTCTGCCTCTACACTAGATCGAGAAACTATAGGCTACTTCTTAGATAACCAAGAAATAAGAGAATTACCAAGAAATAAACAAAACCCAGATGTAGATTGACGGGTGTCCAAACAACTTGCCCAATAAACAACTTGCCCAATCAGCATCAGTAAAGATGTGAAGAGAAAAGGAGGAAACCTTTCGAAGTTGAAGACCACAATGTAATGTTCCTTTTAATTATCGGAGAATTTGTTTTACAGCTTGAAAATGATTAATAGTAAGAGCATGCATGTACTGACAAACTTGCTAAACAGGAAAAGAAATATTTGGACGAGTAAAAGTGACATACTGTAAGGCACCAACAAGACTACGATAGCCAGAAGGATGGGAATAACGAGGACTATCATTAGCTGCCAATTTCTTTTGAGAATCCAGAGGTGTAGCCATCGGTTTACAATCTGTCATACCACTTCGATCAAGAAGTTCATGAATACACTTTGATTGATTAAAAATAAACCAGTAGAATTAACTTTAGCAGTAATACCCAAAAAAATAATGCAGGTCACCCAAATCTGTCATAAGAAATTCCTTCTTCAAAAGTGAAATAAGCTCATATAGTAAAGAAGCAGTTGAGGCAGTTAGAATGATATCATCAACATAAAGTAATAAAATTGCCATGGATGTAGGAGTTCTATATATAAACATGGAAGAATCAGTCATTGCTTGCACAAAACCAGAGGAAAGCAAAAAAGTAGCAAAATGGTGAAACCAAGCCCGCGGTGCCTGCTTAAGACCATAAAGAACTTTCTCTAATCTACAAACAAAATCTAGCCAAGAAGAATCAATAAGCCTAGGTGGTTGACTCATATAAACAGGTTGTCAAAGATCACCATTTAAAAATGCATTCTTGACATCCTATTGATGAATTGGCCAAGAAAAAGAAACAGCAAATGTTAAGATTGTCCGAATTGTAATAGGTTTGACAATTGGACAGAAAATATCATCATAATCAAGTCCAGGCTGTTGAGTATATCCCTGTGACACCAAACGAGCCTTGTACCATTCAATAGGGCATCAGATTTTTGCTTAATACGATACACCCATTTAGACCCAATAATATTAACATTTGGAGGACAAGGAACCAAATCCCATGTATGATTATTTAAAAGTGCATTATACTATTCTTGCATAGCAGCACGCCATTCAGGGAATTGAATTGCCTGAGTAACATATTTAGGCTCCACCATTGAAACTAACTTAGAGACGAGATGGTAAATGGCGTACCTTTCGAGTACCATCTTGAGATCTAGTGATCATAGAGTGTGTTCGAAGAGAAGCTGATGATCCAGAAGGCATAACAACTACAAAAGATGAAATAGGTGGTGGCTTAATATGTTGCTCACAAGCAGTGGGAATAGGCGGAACATCTAATGCATGTGGCTTGTGCTAATCATGAGAGCAAGAAGCATTGTTGTCCAAAATGGCATGAGACGAACTAGGAGCAGTGTGGGTTGCTGAAGTTGGTGGTAAATGAGTAGGTGATATGGATGCATGGTCGGAAAGTTGAATTGATTTTGGGAAATTGGAATGGCTATTTATAGAGGTAGGAATTGGATTTTGATTTGGAATAGGAAGAATTGTGTCGAACAAATCAAAGGGCACTTTGAAATTTGGAGAAGGTGTGTTATTTGTGGATTTAGTGACAACAAGGTAAGCATAAGGAAAGCTAGTCTCATCAAAGGTAACATGCCTAGAGACCAAAATCTAGTTAGTAGCAAGATTAAGACATCTATACCCTTTATGGTGCAATGAATACCCCAAGAAAATGCAAAGAGTTGACCTTGGTGCCAATTTGTGAGGAGCACAAGTAGACAAATTTGGGTAGCAAGCACACCTAAAAATTCTCAAATGATCATAAGAAGGCAATGTACCATAAAGAGATTCATATGAAGTCTGAAAATGTAACCTGGAAGTTGGAAGCATATTGATTAGGTGAATAGCAACATGTAATGCGTCCACCCAAAATTCACTAGGTAAATTTGCTTGAAAAAGAAGAGAACGAAGCATATTGCTAAAAGTTTTGTTCATTCACTCAGCTTTCCCATTTTGTTGGGGAGTTGAGGGACAAGAAGATCATATTTTTATACCATTTTGTTGAAAATATAAAGCAAACTGCTTATTATCATATTCTTTCCCATTATCACCTTGCAAAGCTTTAATATGAGCACCAAATTACTTGGAGACAAATGCAGAAAATTGTAGGAAGCAAGAGAAAACATCAGACTTGGATCTAAGAGGATATACCCAAAAATAAGGAGTAAAATCATCCAAAAACATAACATAGTATTTAAAACCACCAAAAGAACTAATAGGAGAGGTCCTAACATCAGAATGAATCAATTGAAAAGGCTCTACTGAAATAGACAATGAATCTTGAAATGGTAACCTGACATGTTTTCCTAATTGACAAGCATGGCATAAACTAGGTGAACTAGCCAATTTATTTGTAGAAATCAAACCATGACGAACAAGATGATCAAATGACGTTGAACTCGGATGACCCAAACGAGAATGCCAAACTTGAGGTGAAACTGACACATGAAGAACTAGATTTTGAAACTATTTGGAATGCCCAGGAAAAGTATGTAAACCATTTGCATTATTGCAACGAAGGAGGACGTTCTTCGCCTGCAAATCCTTAACAAAAAAACCAAAAGGATCAAAATCAACACTACAATTATTATCCTTAGTGAATTGATGAATAGATACTAAATTTTTAGAAATATTTGGGCAAACCAAAATATTAGGAAGATGAAAAACACGACCATTGCTAGAAAGAAGTGACTTACTACCAACATGAGAAACAGGTAAAAGTTGCCCATTTCCAACCTGTATAGACTCAACACTAGAGTAAGGAATAGATGAGGACAAGTTACCAGTATTTTTGGAGACATGAACAACTGAACCAGAATCAAAAGCCCAGCCATGATCTGTGGATGTTGTTGATGCATTGTCAAACATAAAGGAAGAAGGAGGAGCACTTTCTACCATAAAAGTTTGTGGAGAAAAAGGCTGTGACGAGCGAGAAATAAGAGGGCAATCTCGAGCCTGATGATTCAACTTTCCACACCATTGACAAATAATCAGAGATGCTGGTGTTGGAAGCAAAGGAGGTTGAAACGAGGCACTCAATGGGAGCCGAGGAGAGAAAGAATTAATGACTGGCCGAGGGAAATTATATCCACCATTACCACGATAACCAGAAGAAAAGGATGAATGTCCCTGTGACCAATTTCCTTGCAAACGTCCTCCATGTCCTCGGAAATTATGTCGACCACCACCACGATTATTGTTACTTATAAACTGGGCATGAGAAGTACCAGAACAATCTCTCTATTGTTGTTGAATAGTAGATAAAAGCAAGACTTGTGGAGAAGAAAAAGACTCGGTAGCATGATTTTGACTGTTTTCATGTTGTAAATTGGCTTCTTCAATCAAGAGAAGTGATCGGAGTTGTAGAAAAGATGGGAAAGGCACTCTTTGTGGAATAGTGCGTTTAGAAACACTGTAAGATGAATCTGATGAGTTGAATTTGTATACATATTAATGTGGAATTGTTGCCTCGATATTATTGACATTTGGATGAGTTTTATGAGATTTTACTAAGTTTTATGAGATTTTACATAATTTTCATTCTTTGTGTAGAAAAGGACTTGAGTGCATAAAAGAAGAGTTTTTGAAATTAATTGAACATCTTTTGAAAGTTGAGGGACTGAATTGCAAGAAGAAGGGTGCTTCTTTGGGACCTTAATGAATGAATCTTGAGTTTTGAGATCTAAGTACTCATTGTACAAAAGCTGGAGGATAGATCTACCATTTTACCATTGAAGAAATTGCAAAAGGAGTCCAAAAACTCGACACGAGTGTAGTGTCGACACCATGCATTAATAGTCAAGAATCAAACTTTCTGTTTGCTGTTTTGTGTTGACACGTAATTAGGGGTGTCAGTACCGTGCGTTCAGCATCCAAAATTCAAGTTTTCTATTTTTGCTCTAAGTCCTACTTCTATTCCAATTAGGGTTTCTAAAATCCTCTAAATACCTATCCAAATTTAGAATAAGAGAGTTGGGTGGAGGCTGGTGGCAACCCTTTTTTGGGCATTGTTGAAAATCAAGAGAAAGGATTCAACAGTAGAAGATCAAGGAGTTTGGTTTCCTCAAATTGGGTTTTGTTTTTTCTTGGATTTTTATCTATTATTTGATATTTGAATGTTCATAACTATGATTTCAGATTTTATTATTTTTATTATGAACTGATTTATTCCACTAGGGCTACAATGTAGCCTAATCAATTCAATATAGATTTTGTGATTTTATGTTTTCAATTAAAGTTATTTGCATGAGGAGTTTATATTATTGAACTTAATGCATTGGAAGCCTGATCACCTTTCGATTGATTTAGTGATTTATGTATGAACTTGAGAAAGAATTGCATAGATTAGACCACTAATAATATAAACCGTGTGCTAGATTATGAGACCGAGAGGTAATTAGCTCACATGTGGTAGTGGAGGAGGAGAAAAGAGTTAGGAGCTCCCCCTTCTTAAGCTAGAGGTTTCCATAGAATTTAATACTCATTAGTTTGTTTAAAATTACATAGAGATATGATTAATTTAATAAACCAGTGAAGGATTAACTTGACTTGAGAAAGTTAGTTAATTAATTTAGGAAAATCCACCATCACATGCAATAACACTCAACAATTTGATAATCCAAAATTTATATTCATTGATTATGGTGAAGTCAATGCCTTAGTACCTCATATCTTGATTAGCGTGATTTTAATTGTTAATTTCTTTTTATTATTTTTAATTAAAGTTTCTTTCCTTTTTATTGTTCAAATAAATTTAGATTAATTATTTTGGTACTTGGTTAGACACAATCCTCGTGGGTTCGACACTCTCTCGTCATTATATTACTTGAGACGACTAGTACACTTGTTAGGGTGATTTTACTGCATCAAGTTTTTGGCACTGTTGCCGGGGACTAGTCATCTACATATTAAGATTAATAATTTGGCCTTAGATTGAATTTTTTTTCTTTTTTCTTTTTCTTTCTTGATTAGTTGTTTTTTTTATTCTTTATTTATCTTAGTTTTATTTTTTACTTTTTGATTTTTTTTTTAAGATATTAGTGCATGACCCGTAGTAGTGGTGGTGATCTTGTTCCATTTGATCTAGAAATTGAGAGAACTTTTAGGGAGTTTTTAAGAGAGCAAAAGCAAAACATCATGGCAAAAGAAGGTGAAGGACAAAATAATGCACGCACTCTTGGTTCATATGCCACCCCATCCCTTGAAGGAATAGCATCCAGCATTAGGAGGCCAGCGATTCAAGCCAATAACTTTGAAATCAAACTAGCTACCATTCAAATGATCCAACAAACTGTCCAATTTAGTGGTTTGCCTAATGAAAATCCTTATTTGCGTATTGCTAGTTTTCTTGAAATTTGCAATACTTTTAAGGCTAATGGTATTAGTAATGATTCTGTTAGACTTACATTATTTCCATTTTCTTTGCGTGATAAAGCCAAGAGTTGGCTTCAATCTTTTCCTGCAGGTCATTTTACCATATGGGATGTTTTGGTAGATAAATTCTTAGCTAAATTTTTTCCTCCTTCGAAAACAGCTAAGTTGAGAATGACATTACTACTTTTGTTCAATTTGATAATGACTCATTATATGAGGCATGGGAAAGATTTAAGGAATTGGTTAGGCAATGTCCAAATCATGGTTTACCTGTTTGGCTCCAAGTGCAGACTTTTTATAATGGTATGACTCCTCCTAATCGTTCTATAATTGATGC